ATTAGTCAAAAAGTTAAACTGTGGCTGGAGATATAGCTCACTGATAGAGGACTCAGGTAGCATGTGTGACGCCCTGGGTTTGATCCTCAGTACCACAAAAATAGAATTGAACTGTACTAAACAATTAGGCACATCAGAAATAACATACACCTGAAACTGTTTTAACAGAGGCTCATTCACGTGCATGCTCCAAAATAAGACAAAACTGTTTAATTGAACTTTGTATAGACTCAGATGTTCCAATGATAGAGACCAATGCCTAATTCAGCAACTCATTCAGACTAGAAATTCTAACCAATCCCCATCCACACCAACCCTGACAACTTCAAACCTATGACTCAATCTTCCCTGTGACCACTATTCCTTTTTTGAAAGTCAAGACCACATGCTCCCTCCTGTTTTCAGTCAATTTACTATATATAAGCTCAGCTTTGTGTGACAGGCAGAGGTCACCAGTACAGTTTTAAAAAAGTGTTACAGGAGTATGACTGAAATTTTAAGGGAGAAATCAGGAAATCTGAAATGTAGAAAATCTGAAATTCCATCTCTATACAAAACACCCATAAATACAGACCCATGAAGTCCCCAATAATTTAAGTGAAGCCTACCAAGCCACAAGGGTCACCACTCCCACACAGCTTCCCACCCAACAACTTAGTGGCTTGCTAGAGGATCAGTATAAGACCATAAAAGACTTAGGGAAAATCTTCAGGCCAAAACCAAAAGCTAAAACCAAGACAAACTAAGAAACTCTTAAATAGTACAGCTTATTCCAGCTTATTCTATAAATTATTTAAAATATAATTTATAGCCACAAAAAAATGTAAGCTATATACATCTATGAAAAAAAAAGTATGAAAATTTAAAAAGAGCTCTTACGTATTTAAAATGATGATTGAGATTAAAAGAAAAAGGTTGGAAAATAAAAGTCCATAACCACCCTTAGAAAGAATAAGATGAAATGAACGGAAAAGGAAAAAAGAATCAACCTAAAAGATCTGACATCCACACAGCATGTATCCCAGAGAGAAAAAAATTAGAAGATAAAAGAAACAAAATTCCACAATTATAGTATGAATCTACAGACTGAAAACCTGAAACAACACTTACATACATTACCATAAGTTTCACAACACATAAAAGGGAAATTTTCTAAGTTTCCAGAACAGGAGAATATTAACTATACACATACAAGTGATAATAAAAATGACACCCAACTTTCCTAAAAAAACAAATAGAACCCCAAAGACAATACAGCAATGCTTTGAAGATTCTAACTGAAAAGTACTTCCAACCCAGACTTTTACCCAAAGTTTTGAGCATAACAACTGAAGAAAGACAATGCCAATGTGAAGTCTCAAAAACTAATATTCTAAGAGCATTTTTGAAAAATGTTACTATAGACAATTTCAAACACAATAGCAGAAAATATGAATGAATCACCACAAATGCCAACTTTTAACAATCTATTCATTCACTGTCTACTCTTGACACTTCTTAAGATAAACATGCTTTGTGCTCAGAAAGAATACACATCAAAAAAGGGAAAACATAGCATCTAGGAAACAATGAGATTTCAGCATAAAAGAAAAAAATTTCTGAGGTTGGGTTGTGGCTCAGAGTACAGCACTCAGCTAGCTAGCATGCATGAGGCCCTGAGTTCGATCCTCAGCACCACATAAAAGAAAGGTACTGCGTCTACCTACAACTAAAAAATAAATATTTTTTAAAAAGAAAATTCCTAATTTGGCAATTCCACATCAGGTCTACGGAAAAAAAACAACCTAAAAGAATAAAAGGGCCGGGTATGGCGGTGTACACCTGCAATTCCAGCAGTTCAGGAGGCTGTGGCAGGAAGATCAAGAGTTTAAAGTCAGCCTCAGCACAAGTGATGTTCTAAGCAACTCAGTGAGACCCTGTCCAGAGGCCCTGAGTTCAACCCCCAGTACAACCTCCACGCAAAAATGAAAAAGGTTCTAAAAAACACAAATGAATCATCACCTTTGACTGTGCGGGAAATCATACTCAGAGTTCAGAAAATTAAAAAAGGAAAAGAAAAGCAATCAAAATCCCAAGGAGGGAGGGGAAGGTTGCACCAAAAAAAAAAGAAATTATAGTGCATTACTTGGCTCAATATTCAACATTTACATAATCAAAACTACTACTAGGGGGTTAGTATAAGAGGAAGTTATGTTAAAGAGCCAAATTACTCACCAGAAGCCAATACAAAACATTTAATACTGGAAGAGCAAGAGAACTTTGTATATATTTATTTGCAAATTTTAAAATGTAAAAACCAATGAGTTAAAAATGTTACCTATGCAATACTTTCTGCATTTTGTTACAAGCCTTTTAGTTGGGCCCTGCCGAAGGTCATAAGGGTCACCATACCAATTATGGAATGTTATTTGAGATGAATTAGCCTCTTTTAGGATGAATCTTTTTGCACATGGCCATATCAGTAATTGATAGAGGGATTTAAAAGCAGCATAGCATTTCTCTGTCAAGAGGAAGAATGAATAAAACTTATATTATCAATAATACTGATCAAGAGGTCAGCACTCTTTTTGAAACAGTATAGTACTATGCCATTTTGAAATACCTATCTGGTCTCCGCCAGCTACCTCCAGATACATAACTCCTAGAACAGGGATCACTTAATGTGTCTTTTTTATGTTTAAGGAGATGCCTGGTGGCTGGGGGTTCCTACTTCAGAATGGGAGCTAGCCACTGAAAACACTGAGGACTAAAGAGGAGTGTGTTTAGGAAAGCCTCCCAACAAACACCTGGAGGCGTTGGTGGGTGGTGCACCCTTGACAGTGCGTGCATCTAGCTCATCTGTTTCCTTTGTTAATCTCTCTCATAGTAAACAGTAAACTTAAGCATTTTCCTGAGTTCTATGAGCTACTCTAGCAAACGGGATCATGGAAAAGCAAATTTATAGCCAGTTCTGACACAATATTCAGATAGTATCTATCAAAACTGAATTAAGTGGAGGATACTCAGCTGGTATCTGCTGCAAAACTGCTTGGTTGCTGGTGGAGAGAAACCCCACCATTCCACATGCTACTGACCAGAGATGCTGTGTTATACTGACTATATACAGAGAATGAGGGTAAGCACTTTGTTCCCTTCCCACATACACTTTATCTCCTTAACCTCACAGTGAAAAAAGAAGAAATAACCCCATTCATGCTCTCTCATGATAAAATATCTTAATGGGTTAAATAGAAACTCTTTGGCCCTATGCTATAGGAAATATTGAAAAATAAGAGAAATCAAAATACTTATATGAAAGGATTAACTTCCCACTTTATTTAAAAAGAAAAACAATCAAATCATTTCTACTACTATACACATCTACACATCACTATGATCAGCCAGCCTTCCACCTAAGAGGTTCCTGTTTAAGTTAGATTTTGGAATGGTATATGTAAAAGAACTATGGGAAATAAGTCATTATTTCAAATAATAGAGAACTGGGAGATTATACTCACTGGCCAATAAAATCCTGAGAGCAATTTTTTCACTTAATGAAATAAAAATATTTTATTCTAAACAGTAATGATCAATACTACTACTATTACTAAATGTGCCAGGCACCTAGGGAAACACTTGACACACAATATCTCATTTAGTTCTTAACCTAAACAGCTACAGTAACAGCCTCATATTTTAGATGAGAAAACCTAAGGCTGAAGAAAACTTAAACACATCACATCAGTGTTTACACAGCAAGTAAGAGAAAACTGGGACTCTAAAAGTTCTCAGATGGTCAGACATAATGGCACATGCCTGTGATCCCTTAGCCGGGAGAGCTAAGGTGATGATCCCATGTCCCAGGACAGCCTTAGCAACTTAGGGATACCCTGCCTTAAAAGAAAAAATTAGGGATGTAGCTCAGTGGTAGAGCAATCCTGGGTTCAATCTACAGCACCACCAAAAAAAAAAGTCTCAGATGACTTACAGGTCAGTCATCAGTATTCTAAATAAATATTTCAAAACTATATTGAACACTGAAATCAATGTTAATTTTGGGAAGCTAAAATTAAAAAAGGTAATAAGGGGTACTTAAAAATCTAAATCCCAGTCAAGCTAGTTCTCAGTCTTATGAGGTTAACAGACATACCAAAAAATTGATTTAAAAAGCAGACCAGTCTTCAAGGTTGTAGAATTAAAATAACACACCTGGAGGCAGCAGGTTGGGAAGTCAGCTCAGTTTTCTAAGACTATGTGATCAGCAGAGATACCAAAAAGTTAGAGCAATTAAGCTAAAGAAAGTATCATTTACCTAATTTATAGCATAGTTCTACACAATTTTATTTTTGTTTTTCGCGGGTGGGGGGGGTGGGGGTGGGGTGAAAACCAAGCCAGGGGGCCAGGGATGGTGACTCACATCTGTAATCCAAGAGGCTCAAGAGGCTGAGACAGGAGGATCACAAATTCAAAGCCAGCCTCAGCAACTCAGGAAGGCCCTAAACAACTCATGGGCACCCTGCCTCTAAATAAAATACAAAAAAGGGCTGGGGATGTGGCTCAGTGGCTCAGCACCCCTGGGTTCAATCTCAGGTCCAAAAAAAAACAAGCAAGATCCCAACTTCTGTTGTACTAGCTCTGTGCCAAAAAATTGATAATTACTATTAAATATTCATTTCATTTTCATACCAGTATACTTCCTTCAAATAAGCACACTAAAAGCTTTCTTTATAAATCTGTTCAAAATCCTAACTTCATTAAATACAATGCTCATCTAAGCCCTCATCACCTTCTTTGAACAATATCTCCTAGGTTTTAATGTAATCCTAAATACATATTTAGTGAAATCCCTCCTGTCAAGAAACTAAAGCTGGTTTTTCACATGTGTATGTGAATAAAATACTGGAAATCACCATGCTTCAAGAGCAGCAAACCACTAGGTATTATGTGAAAGTACTCCTCGATTTCATATCTGTCTTTAAAAGTGTATTACACTAGAATATGTGCAGAGCTGCAATGCTTACCTGCATCAGCTCTGGACCGCTGGCCAGGTGTCTTTCCGAATGGGGTCTTCATTCATCTGTATTTATGTGAGCAGCAGAGCTGCTAGACTAGGGTGAAAATTCAATATTCTCCAATTGGAAAGTTTCCACAAAATGTCAGTTTTCTTGTTAATCCACCATCCAAGTGTCTCTTTTATAAGCTCAGCAAAAATGTGAGGAATCACAAGTGCTCTGTAAAATAGTGAAATAGTTAATTACTAGAGCAATCAAAGCAGCAAAATGCCTAGTGAGCCATTAAAATACAACCTAAAACAACAATAATAAAAAAAATATATATACAACCTAAAATTTAAATCTTTTAACTAAAAATGCACTTTTCCCCCAAAAAATGAATTTTGATTCCTAAGACCTGAATTCTAGCATAGGACAAAGTAGAAGGGCAAAAACAAGGCAATTGTTCCATTAAGACAAAGTCTAGGATAATCCCAAGACCCAAATGTAGTTAAGTGAGGAACTATCCTAATGCACTTGGCTGGTAGAAAAGAGTGAGTGCTGGGATTTCAGAAAGTTTAGATTGGCATGGCCCATCTTCCTAGTAGGACATAATGAACGAGACAATGGGGAGAGCAACAGGGATGTGTGGTCACTGAAGGGGGCACAGTTGGTAGAAAATGAGTAGACCAGTGGCCCTGGACAGGAGAAAGGATTCTGGCCAACAAAATTTCACTTTCCTGCTTCTCCTCCTAAGTTTCCAGAAACCAGAGGAAGGGTCCAGAAACACCTCACCCATGCAAAGTGTCGAGTCATTTTATGCAAACAGCTTTACCATTCAAACAAATCTAGTTCCAGGAATTTACAGTCCACAGTATATACTTCCATATATATTCTCAGAGAGCATAAAAAAATCCACTATAAATTTCACTTAGGATGCTTGGTTCTTATGTTTTAGTCTTTATGTCTACAATTTATGACCAATTTAAAGAACTGAAGGGAAAACTTAATCATCTAAAAGACTAAAATATAACCAAATCATTAAAATAGGTAAGATGTCTGAGGAATGAAGGAGAAGGCAGTTTAACTTTTAAGGTAGAATTTCTCCACTATGCAGGAGTGGCGGGCGGAGCAGCCTGTAGTCCCACATCTCAGGAAACTATCACTGAGCCCAGGAGTTCAAGGCCAGCCTGGCTGACATTGCAATACCATCTCAAAAATAATAAATAAAATCCAAATTACATAAACTTTTTATATTATTCAAGGAAGACAGAGTTTTAAAAAAAATCAATGATTTCATGACTAATTTCTTCCAAAAATGTTCAGGATGCCTATTGTTGGAAGCTTAGGGTAGACAGGGAAACAACAAACAAATAAGCAAAATAAATTGTGTGTGTGTGTGTGTGTGTGTGTGTGTGTGTGTGTAACAGCAATGTAAAGTACTGAGAAAAGCACAAAAATAGCACCTATTCTGTAGGTAACGCCTCAGTATTGAGGCTTAAGCAAACTCTCCAGTGCTTCAGATAGTATCTCTGGGAAGCTATAACCAATCTGCCTCCCATCCTACCCAACTAAAGAAACCAGGCCTATAATGAAAGACATCAGGACAACTGGCACCCTCCTTCCCCCACGAGCCTTCCCACCTGCTTCACTATCGTGATGGCAAAAGGTACGACTTAGGCAGTCGAGGGGGAGAAATAAACAAGGTCTACACTTCTTCCTTTCTCAATGCTTTATTCACTCAAATCACTCAATACAATTTCACTCTATAAATTCTTAAGAAAATGACAACCCTTAATGCTAGGCACTGCAATAGACACAATCAATTCACAGCAAACAATTCTAGATTAATTCTAAGCACTGAAAACACACTCAATCTTGACAGGCTCATGACAGACATTCCCTCTGCATGCTAAATTCAAGTGCCAGACCAGAAGTCTCAACCCTTAGGCTCTAAGTCCAGCAGATGCACACTCACTCAGACCATGGTGATCAGGTCAGGAACCAAGGCAGGATTCTCCTGGGCTGGAGCTGAAGGCCGGTTGAGGAGAGAGTTATAGAGAGAAGTTGCGGCTCTCACCAGAGTCAAGATGACAGCAGTGAGGAAAATGCAGAGGATCAGGCAAACAATGAAAAGTATTAGGATGTCAGTGCGGGCGTGGGGGGCATCAGTATCACCTGGCTGAATGTCTCTTCATTTGCTCCACTATTTATACCAAATTTTGGAGCTTTTGACCCCCCTTCCAATCGTTATCAGCTGCCACCTGAGTCTCTCAGTGACCAGTTAAAACATCTGGTCTGGTGGTCCCACCCTTATCAGGGGGAAGACAACATGCCAGAGGATTCACACTGAGTTTACCAGAGTGAGAAGAAGTGACTTCTTTGTGCCTGAGGGCCATACTGGAGGGCCCATTAGGAGTGTCTGGTGAGACTGCAGGTTTCAAACTGGGGTTTTAAAATGGAGTTGCTTAGGCTCAGGACACACACAAACTCTCACATGGCTCATTTACCTTATTCAGCCTGAGCTTTCTTCATTGAACTCTTTCCATCTCCCTCTTCTGTGTGCCTGCCCACACCTCTCCAGAAGGTGCCTGCCCACACCTCTCCAGAAGGCAAAGACCACCTTCAGCAAAGTGCTACCTACTACCACCAGAGACCTTCCCCATTCACAGCTCCCTCCAAAGGCATCTGCTTGTATCTCTCACTGCATACTGTTCTCCAATCCAGAACTTCCATTTAGAAACACATCCCATACACTAGTACTAACAGCTACCCCTTTTAGTTAGTCTCCTGGTCATCTGCACATCCTTACTGAAGACTTTGGTACTGGTTTATTTCCTTTCTATCAAAAGAAATCAATATTCTTGGCAATCCCATCATCCAAACATATGATCTTTGCAATGCCTTCCCCTGGGTTCTTATACATCAACCCTTCAAACTCCCTACCATACATAAGCCAACTATTCCCATAGTCAGTCACAACCCAGACCTTTTCTCACCAATAACTATGAAAACCTCCAAAATTTCATTTCAAGCATCCCACACTCAATATCACCCCTGATCACTCCAGGTTTCTTACATTAACACTGCCATTCTAACAATTCTTTGATGCAACTGACAGAAGAATTTTAAGATGTTCTAAACTAAGTTATAAACCAGAGGATAGAGGGAAGAAGAGTTAAGAGTTCATTTTACACTGACAGATTTGGGCTAGACCAATATAGTGTTGGGGGGAGAGGCACCTTCTCCACATTCCCTTCCTCTATTTTGAAGATCAGCCATCAAGGAAAGGCAGCATTGTACTTGTAGAACCAACGAAGAAGCTAAAAGTACTTCTCCTTATGGAAGGTCCTCTGATCACAGGACTTTGCTCACATCTTGTCATTATTATTTATAACCAATGTAATCCCAATGAAGCAACTTATACTTCTTTTTCACAGATCATCTTTCTTTTGGTACTGGAGACTGAACCCAGGCCCACTTAACCACTGAGCCACATCTTTTCTTTTTTGGATACAGTACGTGGGATCAAACCTAGGGCCTCGTGCATGCCAAAGCAAGCTCTCCATCACTGAGCTACATCCTCAGCCCCCTTTATTTATTTTGAGAGAGAGCCTCACTAAGTTGCTGAGACTGGCCTCGAACCTGTGATTCTCCTGCCTCAGCTTCTGGAGTTGCTGGAACTATAGGCATGCATCACCATACCTGGCTTCCAGGATTTCCACTATAAAATATCTTGGCTTCTTGGATCTAGAAGACATTTTTCCAAATGCTATATGGCAATGACGCTGACGCTGGTATTTCAAGAGAATCTGTTGTAGGCCCAATCCTTTAACTTTGGCTAACATCTGTAACAGTTTTGTAACCCTTTTATTTCAGCTATTTCTTGGTTTCTAAATTTTAACACAGCCATTCCATACTTTTATCATTTCTGCATTGTCCTATTATGAACCTCAGGAACTAAATGACCTATCTATCGCTGGCTAAGATTTCAGGGATGGTACAACCACAGTGGTTGCTCCCTTGCTGTGCTCAATTTCCCTGCTTCTTTTCCTTCACTATAATGTACAAAGCATCAACCCAACTCCCTTTCTGCTATGCTTACAACTAAAGAACTAAATATGGATGAGAAACATACAAACTTTCACTTCAAATTTATCAGGTTGTAATCTCAAAGCACCTTCAGCATTACTGCCCAGATAGGCTTGC